AATATGGAACACTTATTGAGGTTCGAACTCACGTATGTGTTGTATTCATTCAGGACATTTCCTGTCATTTGTAGCTGTTAATATTTTTCCTGAACCCTGTTCCGCCATCCGTTTACTCAAACTCACTATGTAGGTTATGCGTTGTTTTCTTGTGTCCCTTTAGCCTTCATCTACCCCGTGAGTATTAGATTTTCCAGTCCCTCTTTCCTCATTATATGCCCGAGAATTTGCAACTGTCAACGTGATATGAAGTCTAAGTTTCCTTTTTCTCTAAAATTACATCGTCGCTCAGATTTTCGGTCCAGTGTATCCTCAGCATATTTCTGTAGAGGTACTTTTCTGTTCGTTAAGGTATCTCCATCTGTGAGTGGCGTAGCGTAGTTGTGGCACATGACCTAAAGTATAAGGCACCTAGTAAGGATCGAACTCACTACTCAGTCGTAATTTATCTAGCGCGACAAGCTTGCTAATCATTACATGTCGAAGTGCTCGCTATATGATTATCATACAGCCATTCTTACAGAGACTTATACATAACATCAGAAAAAGGCAGTTGAAAATTATGTGTCACGTAATGAGAAAGGAAGGTTCGGAAAATCTGATACTCACAGGACAGATTGAGTTCAAATAGGGACGGAGTAAAGCAGCGTGTAACATACTTGATGGGCTTCAGTAAACGTGGTAGAACAGGGTTTGGGTGTAATAGCAAAAAGACAGCATTTATTAAGAGCTACAAGGGGCAGGAAAACGTGGAGAGTTATGATCGCCTACATCTCTGAGGGAGATGGCCAGTAAAGAAGAACTCAACATGATTAGATATTATATCGAAAAATAAATGTTTTTTTGTTTTTATATATATATATATATATATATATAGATTTATCTTTGCGTAGGCTTATGTACGTCTCTATATACATATATATGTGTGCATATATAAGTGTGTGTGTGTGTGTACTTTAAATGCAAACGATTTTTTTCCTTCACTTGAGGCACTTCGGTTATGCTATTATTGAACGGAAGGGCATACAATTGCAGCCGATACTATATACTATTTTTCCTATGCATATTTTTCTCCCTTTTTTGCACAATACTAGCGCATTCAATCTTATCTTCAAAAGAAGAGTCGCCTATTTTCCCAAATCTGTTTCATTTTAAATACTTAGTAAAACACATTTAGTGTTGTTAGAAGGGAACGTATGTGGAGGCTAACTTTTACAGATCATGCAACTATGCATAAATATAGATAAGTAATAAATTGAGATGTATATGTATAGATATACAAATATTTAAAAGATGAAGAATTAATTATAATATCGTCATTAATTTTTTAAAAAATCCACATGGCAACAAAAAACGTATGCAATTTCTCTATTATTTTAAAAATAAACACTTTTCTATCGTTGGAACAACTATAAGCTTTTCTATATATATATATATAGATAGATAGATAGATATAGATAGATAGAGAGAGAGACTGGGAGAGAGCATAACAAAGCGAGATATATAGCTACATATAACAAGATATATAGATACCAATATTAATTAGAATACTATCACGTATTATATATATATATATATATAGATAGATAGATAGATGATTTGAATATAGACAGGTAAGTAACAAATTGAAATGAATATATACAGATAGATATGTCAAGACAAGATAGATGCGAAAAGATACTGCACGGTCGCTTGCTAGATAGATCAATGAGAATATACGTAGTTATCGATTAATAGATAGTACATAAACACATACACATGTGTGTGTATACATATACGTCTATATTATATAGAAATTTGATGCGTATATTATATATATATATATATATATATATATATATATATATATATATATATATATATATACCAGTCAATCAATCAATATATATATATATATATATATATACACACGATTATATATAGATATACATACATACATACATACATATAGACATATGCAGAAATATATGATAGACATGTGTAATAGATACAAAAAAAGATAATCTTTCTAAAGACGTATGAATTAACTGTTCAGATATATTTGTTGTTCGTGCCTGGCAGGCATAAATAATATATGCATATATACAATATATTTTCGCAATTTAAATCATAATATATCAGCAAACATTGGCGGACATCAAATCACACAGTCATATCCATACTATTTAAACAATTTAGTGCTCAGTGTAGTGCTCAATATTACATAAATTTGCGGAGAAATAACATTAAATAAGATAAGAATTTTTTATATTTTTTAGATGACCAACACTTCGAGTTGTGTAAAAATAAACGTTGTGTGTGTGTGTGTATATATATATATATATATATATATATACACATATATATATATATGACATAGAACGTTGAGCTATATTTATATAATATCTTAAAAAATATTTAAACGAAATAAAAAAAGATAAAAAATTGCAACCCTCGAACAAGAAAAGAATTTTTAAAAATTAACAAAAACAACAAAGATAATATAATAATAATAATAATAATAATAATAATAATAATAATCTGAAATAAAGAAGCTGCAACAGCGAGCGAAATATATGACTGTGTAGAGACAGATCAAATTGAAAGAATCTTACCGGGATATGTCGATTCTTGCTGATCACCGTGAGAGATCGCACACACGCACATACTCAAACACACGCGCGCACGCACACGCACACACACGCATGCACGCACATACGCACTTCGACGCTGGCCGTGTTAGTGTGTGTGCGCGCGCGTGCGCGCACATCTCGTCAGTCGTGGGTAAATATTTTGCGAGAAGGGGAATTAGACTCAAAATTGGAGTAAAGCACAGAGGGTATGTGTTGAGAATGTTTGCGCGCGTTGTGTACACAACGATAGATAGATAAATTACAAAGAAAGATGGTTAAAATTGATAGATAGATCAGAAAGAAAGAGATGGCGTAAAAATATAGATAAGTAGATAGATTAGAAAGATGGTCAGAAAGATAGATATGAAAGAAAGGACAGACTGACGGATGATAGATATATATATATATTTAGATAGATATTTTACGGATTATTCCTTTCAGAAGTTGTGTCTTGTGTGTACAGTGCGTATTTTATTTGTGAGAATAATTTTAATGCAACGAAGTGTGCAGTATGTGTGTGCGCGGGTGTGTACAAATGCGCGGGCTTTTTCTGATTAAAACACATTTTTGTTGCACTTAAAAAAAAAAAAAAAAAAACTTTTTCTCCTTTTTCACTCTCACTCACTATCTCTCTCGTCTTTTTTTGTCCCTATCCAGCAGTTTGTGAAGAAGGTTCAAGACATTTCATATGCATAGAACTATCTGTATTTGTGTATATATCCAAAAGGTGTAGATATTTGTTCATGATTTTTTTCTCACTGTTTAATATATCTTTTTCTTTCTTTCTTTTTTTTTTTTTTTGAAGGGAGGCGTCACTTAGTCCATTATAATCTTTTCTTTTGATTATAACTGATTTTTTTCTTTTTCCTTCTTAGGTTTATATTTTACTCATTTTGAGTTAAACTTCATCGCCGGGTTTTTATTTTTTTTTTAAAGGCTCCTTCAATTCTTTCATATTCTCAGTTCTTCTTTACTAACCTCATCCTAGTTTGAACCAAGGCCACAATTATAGGACACCAAGCGAGGAGCGAACTCACTGCAGAATAGTAATGGTCAACTAGACTTGCTTTCTAACCATTAACCCACGATGAGGTATCCACTTCGCTCTCTGTAACGTTCGCTAATGAGGCAATATATTTATTCTTCACACATCTTTACGAACACGCCCGTTACTTAGATGAGAACAGAATTATTTACCCAACTTTTTTTGGTATTTTCAGAAATGTATCGCTTTGTTTTTAGTTTTATCATTCTTGTATATTTTTCATTTTTTTTAAAGAATATTTTTGTTCAATGTATCTTTCCCAGTTTGTTATTAAATAATTTGTGAATACCGCTACTTTTTCACTACCATTTTTCTCTTAGTGAATTTGATGGCTTTATTTTGTTTATAAAATTAAATCAGATGTTATTCTGGATTTAATCAATATATATTTATCATAAATCAGCAATAAAACTGGGATAAAATCTAATCCTCAAAAGTAAGAAAACAAATAATAATGACAATTAATACAAAATAAACTACAAAATGACTTGCCGTCAAACATTGGTTAGCAAGTTTTATTCATAGTCCGTTAGTACTGTGTAGTGAGTTCGATCCCCATAAAGCGCCGCATTTCTTTGATCTTGTACCGTACTTGGAAGCTCGGTATATGACACCAGTGACAATTCGCAAAGTTTATATCAAACCAGTGTAAACCATATCTTTAAACTTCGCAATACCTTCCACCGGAGATTTCTTCGACCTCGAATTGACGAAGAATTGAATAGTTCAAAGCCGTGCTTTTTAAAACAAAAACAAAAACAAAACAAAGGATATATATATATATATATATATATAAATATATATCTTCTGTAAAAGCTCATCACCAGGAAATTTCACTATCACAAAGATAAATACATCTAAATATGTCTCATTGTGTCACATTCATGGTCTTCGGCCACTGTTAATCAAGATTTACGCATACGCGCGCGTGTGTGAATGCGTTAGGTAAAGCAGTATGATAACAATGTGCGTGTAACGCGTGTTAATAGCCTGGAACAAACACACCCGTGTGAGCGCGTGTGTTGTTGGTCGAAAGCGTGCGTAGGTGGAGATAGGTGTTGGATTGGGGCGGGGTTTGGGTGAACGGTAGTAGAGTGGACTTCCGATTCGTAATCAGAATGTGTAAACAAAACGTCGCGGCTTTGAAGAATTCTCTAGTGGAAATCCGTATTTGTTGTCCTGCTTGTTTTGTTATTGTGTTTGTTTTCTTTCTTTCTTTCTTTCTTTGTTTTATTTTCATTTAATGAATAAATATATAAACAGGTATCGCTAAAATAGATAAGTAAATCAAAATAAAAAAAACCTGAACGTCTAGCTTTGCTGTATATTGTTTTTCCATCCAGGCGGAAGGTAGAAAGGAATCCTTTTCCGTTCACTTTGGTTGTTGTACTTTCCCGACGTACATCCATACGAAAATCCTCCTTCCACTCCGATCCGAGCCTGCCACTCCTACCCTCGTTTCAGTCTCTCCCTTCCTCCGTTATTTCTCCACATGAAACTATCTTCCGTTCTTTCTTTCTGTTATACTATTTTATCTTTTTCGTTCGTTTCAGTTTATTTTGATTTCGTTCGATCTTTCTCTTTCCTTCTCGTCTATCTACGTCCTTTAAATTTAATTTAACTTTCTATATCTTCTTCGTTCAAACAGTCTATTTTGGGTGTCGCTTTTTGTATATTTCCAATTTATTTGCAATTAACCGGAAACTTAACATAGTCTGGCACAAGAAAGGTCGGAGTTCTTTCTCCCACTTGCGTGTTTGATTTAGAAATACGCAGATGAAATACTTCTATCTAGTTGGGTTCGAACACCAGCCATTGGTCGCCGTTGAAGACAGAAACTAAAAAGGCGTGTACGTCGTCTAAACGTAAATTCATTCATCACTTTTTGTTACTTAAGTTTCATGTATTATTCTTTATTTACGAGTTTGTCGCTTGATTCATTAATATTTAATAGGGTAATCTAAAGTGGGCAAATGAAAACAAAATGATTATGTCAAGGCAAATTTAACAATTGGAGGGGGTTCGCTTTAGTAAAACTTTGATATATCTATGCATACATATGTATGTATATACACATACATAGATACATGTATATATATACATATATATATATGTGTGTGTGTGTGTGTGTGTGTGTACATGTATATATACATATACGTGTGTACATGTATATATATAATACAAACATTTATATTACACAGATACATCTATGCCTCTCTCTCTCTATATATATATATATATATATATATATATATATATATATATATATATATCGATATATATGTATATATGTGTGTGTGTGTGTGTGTGTATGAATGTGTATATGTAAAAATGTGTGTATATGTGTTTGTGTGTGTGAATTTACATGTATGTGCGTGTGAATGTACCTGTGCGTGTGTGATAGATCATCTCTACTGACGAAAGATACATTAACGTAAACAATGACAACATATAATGAAATGCATTAAGTTCGAGAGTTATGTAATATATTTAATGTTTATTCGTCATTTTTATAGATATCATTTATTTAAGGAAATGCTCTGTTTATTATTAAACAGTATTAATTTAATTTACCGGCATGAATGTTCGAGAAAATCGCTGATGGTGTGTGTGTGTGTGTGTGTGTGTGTTTATAAACAGTAATTCGGACTTTGCTAATCAGACGCTTCTCTGTTGCTGAATGGTTAATAGCACGCCAGATCAAATGATGCTTCCCATTAGGGTAACAGGTTCGATTCCTATTGAAGTAACGCCTATTTTGTACGAAATTTGACGAATTTCAGTCAGGTAAATGTAATTGATACTGTTTAAATAAAACACAGAGTGTTTACATAAATAATAATGTTTAAATAAAACAGAAATATATATATATATAGAGCGTTATATATAGGTTATATATATATATATATATATATAATATAATATATATATATATATATATATATATTTGTTTATATATATATATATATATATATATATATATATATATATATATGTTTTTATATATATATATATATATATATATATATATATAGTTGTGTTTATATATATATATATATATATATATATATATATATATATATTATATATATATTTATATATATATATATATATATATATATATATATATATATATATATATATATATATATATATATATATATATATATATATATAGCTGTGTTTTATATATATATATATATATACGCTGTATTTATTTATATATATATATATATATATATATATAGTGTGTTTTATATATATATATATATATTATATATATATATATATATATATATATATATATATATATATATATATATATATATATGAAATGGATATATAATATCCGATATATTTTATATATATATATATATATATATATATAAATGTTTATATATATATATATATATATGTGTATATTATATTATATTGGACAAAATCTGACTTGTATATATATATATATATATATATTATGTGTGTATGTGCACGTATGTGTGTATTTGTACGTATGTATTTATGTAGCTAAATTGCATATAGATCTGTGTGCATGTGCAGATATGAGAGTTCATATACGTGCATTTGTAGATAGATGCCTGTGATTGTATCTACTGCACAGAGACATAAAATTAGGTGGCTGTGTGAGAGAGAATGCGTTGGTAGTGTTTTTCTGTAGATAGATGTGTGTGTATGTGTAATAATAAGAGAGAATAATAAACATTCAATGATAATCACACGAATTGCAAATATATACGAGAAAAATAATTCTTTACACTGCATTTTTCGCCGACGAAGAAGCGTCATCAGAAAAATCATTTTATTTCACGATAACAAAATGTACACTGGCGAGACGACTAAATGTAATTCACATTAATCATCTTGATGCTTCAATTTTACTTCAAACGCATCGTTCTAAAAAATTAGATTGAAACTAGTTTCATTACAGATTTAGCAAAACTAAGTGAGATTACTAAAAGAAAAAAAATTACATTATATAATTATTGATAAAATAATATATAAAATAAGAATCTGATTTGAAAATATTAAAACCTAATTTCTACAATGATCCATTTCAAGTAAAAAAAAAATCCCTGTTGCCTAATGGGAATTATATCTTTTCAAGTCAATGTAGATGTTGTACTTGTGCAATAAAACCCTTTTTTCGAATTACGCCGTTTCATCGACAAATAATATCAGCGTGATAGATAGTCTCGAATGCCGACTACTGGAAAATGCAGTAAGTTCTGAAGGGTATGTATGTCTGTTCATCTATCTATCTCTTTATGTCTGTTCACCCATCTATCTATGTCTGTTCATCTTTGGAGCTCGCAGTTTGAGTTTCTTTATATTCCTACTCTATATGTTTTTTTTTTCTCTAGATTTTGATCGACTCTTGTAAGAATCTGTTTGTCTAATTAACACTTTTAGTAGATTACTTTTCTATACTTTAATTTTTAATATATATTAAGGATTATTTCAAACAATCTAATTGTTTTATTATTTTTCCATCTTTTTCATCACACTACCGTGATTCGATATAATTCCAGACCACATTATTGACCATTTTCCTTCAAAAACCAAACCATAATAAAATGAAGGAAAAAGACCGTTTTTATCCCCATGAGAAAAATTCTACATAAAAAAAATAAAAAAAAAATATATAAAATTGTGAATAATAATTAATCTCAATAATTTTAACACACATTCATCAATTATAAACGAAGGCCTTCTTTTTCCATATAATAACCATTATAGTTTAAATGATGAAAAGATATTGTCAGTTAAATCTATCGCCAGGAGAATATGGAGTAAACTGGGGCATTCTTTTTTTTTTTTTTTTTGCATATATTTTTTTCGTTTTATTTAAACTTTATATGCAGAAGAATTTATTTAAGTTCACATGTTCTTTATCTCAAATCAAACTTGGACTTTTTCCAATATATATCACGTAAAATTCCAGTTTAAAAATTCCAGTTTAACTGAAAATTTAGACATTTTAAAAAATTAAACATTTTAGTCTGCCCCCAGGAATACATGATCAAAACTGAGATCACATTTTTACATATCTTTATTTTATTTAAAGTTCATCAGAAGGAGGCGAAAGATTGAGAAAAGGACTAAGCACAAACTACAAGAAGACAGCATGCATGGTCATTAGTAAAAAGATGAGCCCAAAATGCGATTTGCAGGTCGGGGACACTAAAGCCAAGCATTTGTAGAAATTTAAATATCTGGGAAGTGTTTTTGACAGAGGACGGAAAGTGCGACACTGAGATCTGAAGGTGTATTGTGATGACCAAAGAGGCATTCCAAAAGCTAAGCAGAGTATTACGAGACAGGAAAGTTTAGTTAGAAACAAAGAAAAGAGTACTGAACTGTTACGCGATATGTGTCCTCCTGTATGGCAGCGAATGTTGGTCAATCTCCACAAAGATGAAGAAGAGACTCGAAGCAAAAGAAGCGTGGATCTACAGAAGGATGCTGAGGATACCTTGGGTCGAACATGTGAGCAACAGTGAGGTTTAGAGAGGATGCAAACAAAGAGAAAAATTATACTTAACATTAGGAAGAAGCAGCTGAAATTTCGGGGACACGTAATGAGAAAGAAGGGCTTGGAAAATCTGATACTGACGGGGCGGATAGAGGGAAAGAAGTACAAGGGAAAGCAACGCGTGGCATGCTTACTGGGCTTAAGCAAGTGGATGACAGAACAGGGTTTGGGACAAACAAAAAGACAAAATTTATTGAGAGCTACAACGGACCGGAAGAAATGGAGAACCATGATCGCTACGTCCTGGAAGGACACTGCACATAAATGATTTTTTTTATTTTTGATTTAAGATCAATACTTAGGAATTATTAAATATATTTCAATAAGTGTTTCAATTTAAAAATTATACGTTAAATTATAGTCTCTATATTTACATTTTATATTCGGACAATTGACCTCATCTTTGCTCTTTCTATCATAAAGATTCAACCTTTGTGCGCTCCGGCCTTCCTCAGATGTATATCGATTTGGGGAACTTACAAGAAATTCTCACGTGAACTCTTTATTGCAGTAAACTTAGAGCATTACACCTAACCTAGCTTCTGATTAGTTTGCAACTGATGCTGCTGGCTGTCATGTTTTTACTACTTCTACTACAGTAAATTGTTCTACGGCATTATGGGTTTGTGAAATTGATGACATATTCGGGAGTTCAATAACTGAGACATACAATGTGTACATGCATTCAGTAAAAGCTGACTCAGAGTAAAATGAACAGTTGGACGAGAACAGTCTACTCCCGTAAATAAAATAAAGGTTTTAGAATTCCCTATAGATCGATATACACCTGAGGATGAACGGAGGACACATCAGCCGAAACGTTATGAAAAAAGACGACGACAGTCTGAATATAAATAGTGTAAATAATAACTCCCCATCTTAGAAAATCAGACAAAAATAGTTTATATATATATATATATATATATAGTGCAATGGATAAAAAGTTGTTTCAATTACCCAAATTGAAAATACCACTGATATCTCATTTTAACAGATATAATTACCAAAATTA